AGAGCAGGAGAGGAACCTTTTTGTTCTCAAGGTCCTGGAGTGTTTGCAAATGGATCTATCTAACTTGCTGCCTGGATTTTCTTTTGCTTCTGACACTCCTAAAGCTGCTATTGCTAGCAAGAATCTCCGTAATAATAATTCTCAAATAATCTTTGTTGTGGAATTATGAGCAATATATGGTTACTTTCTTACAAGTAACTTCTTGTGTAGGTTCATTGTTAAGTCATGCAGAATCTTTGATTCCAAACTTCTTAAATGTGGAGGATGTGCAACTTTTAAGGTTATATTACCCTCCTCAAAATTTTGTTGTAGCACTCCACACTTTTAGTTTAGTGCAAAGGATTTTAAACTGCTGTTTCAATGGATTACTCGTGCATTGGGCATATATCTATCTATCTCTGTGTGTGTGTATGATGCATAAATTTTGACATTAATGACAGCTCTTTATGCCACTTGATTAAAACTGGAAAAAAAATTGTAAAGCTAATTATTGAGGAAAAGTTGCTTCCTCAGTTTCATTTTAATGAAATATTTTCAAATATTATGTTGAAATGAAGTGTTTGTTTTTTGTTCTTTCACAAATAGGAGTGCTTGTCATCTACTCAAGATGAAATTAACAGGCATTCTCTTCTGATTGTTGTGCTTGTACCATTTTTATACGTATTATTTATTATTAGCTTGAATCTAGTTAGGACACGTCAATCTACCAATTTTAGATTTACATAATAAAAAAAATCTTAAAATTTTAATAATTACATTCCCATCTGCTCAATTTATTTATTTAGAGAAAAAATAAAGAAGAAACAATATAGAATAAGTACCATGCTGATGATAACTTTCTTTCAGAATAATGTCTCTTTTTGTTGAATTTGCTGTCTCATCTTCTTTTTCTCCCCTCCCCTGCCTCTGCCTCACTTCAACTCCCTGGTTAAGCATATGAAGCATTTATTTTTCTGTTAATCTTTTAGCACCTAAGCTCCAGCATAATACTATATCAATGTTTAAATAAACAACTTCTATTAATTTCTTGCAGAGTGTTTTTTGGCGAATTACAAACACTATTTGCTTCTACTGGATTTGGAGAAAATCAAGTCCAAGTAAATCTTTATCCTTTAGTTTGAACTATTAATTATTTTATTTTCCTGATCTATATTTCTTTTTCTCCTTTACTCATATACTTTCATATTTTGTGTATAAATGTTCCCATATCATTCTTCTGGCAAAACTCAGGATAGCAAATTTGAGGAGTCATTATCTTGGGATAAGTTTTCTAAATTCAACATCAATGAACAATATCAGGTATTTGCAAAACATTTTTTGACCAACACGTTCAATACATTGTATTGTTACATTTTGTTCACAAAGTAATTAAATTATACGTACTTTAGAACTAGAAAATGCTTTTAACTGTTAAATAGCAAAATAAAACAATTCTCAAATTGGATTATTTGGTTACCACATAGCTTGTCCTCAACATAGTAACTTGAGAAGAAATGTTTGATCTCCTGTAGGAGGCACAGAGTGCAGGGGGGTGTCTATCATCTTTAACTGGAAAAGAACCTGCAGATCTTAATAAGAAAGGTGGTAATTTCAAGGAAGGTATGTCTGAGAATTCTGCATTTCCTGACATAGACCAACATAATACCAGAGCTGAAGACACAAATCAGAGCAAGGGCCTAAATAGGCAAAATCAGGTAGATGATAAAGGCTTACATGGTAAAACTGCACCTGGAGGAGCAAGAGATATGGAAAAGGATGCTCAGAATGTTGAAACAAGTGGTTCAGATAGTAGTTCTGCAAAAGGAAAGAATGTTGTTGATCACATGGATAATGGCGAGCTTTCAAAATCAAATGAGCGTCTTAAAAGAACTGCAATTGAGGAAAATCCAGAGGATGAAAAGATAGAACTTTCACAAAGGAGAAAACGAAAGAGAACAATAATGAATGATAAACAGGTGATGCTAATTGAGAGGGCACTCAAGGATGAGCCTGATATGCAGCGAAATGCAGCTTCACTTCAATCATGGGCTGATAAATTAAGTTTGCATGTATGTTAAATGCAACTCAACTATTTGACTAATATTTCGTTGGCATATTTTCTTGATACTTTCCTGCATTATGTTTTTCAGGGTTCTGAGGTTACATCTTCACAGCTTAAAAATTGGTACGCCTCTATATGTAACTTAACATATTGTTTGTTATGTTATTACTTTGTTCTTTTGTTATACATACTCCTTTGTAGGAATTTAGGATCTATACCATGACCTACTTGTCCATATCAGATGATATAGTCGAACATCTAGTTTGAAGTCATATATCAAGGTTTTCTATACCGGAATTATATTGAATCTTGTTTATTATCTTATCCACAGCTAATGTAATGCTATTATATCTTATTTCTAGTGTATCTTGTAATTTTATTTAACAAAGTTTAGTGTCATGAAATAAGAGTTGGGGTTGTGGGTGGTGGGGCAGAGATCAGAGCATTGAATTTATTGGTCTCTTAAATATTATTGTGCAATTCACTGTTATTGATACATTACTTGGTTGTAAAGCTTCAAATATATTAAGCAATTGGCTGTATACATCATAGTCGGGCCAATTTATTTTTATCTGGTTTGATTTGTAATGGAATTTCATGTTTGTCATATTAGGTTGAATAATCGAAAAGCTAGGCTAGCTCGCACGGCTAGGGATGTTCGAGCAGCAGCAGGTGATGCTGACAATCCTGTCCCAGACAAGCAAAGAGGGCCAGTACCTGGGTCCTATGACTCACCTGACAGTCCAGGTGATGTATCACATGCAAGGAATGATAATAAACCTGAGCCTTCTCTGGCTCGATTTGTTGATATTGGTTCTCCAGAATTTGGTCATTGCAATGCAGGTCAATATGTTGTCCTTGTTGGTGTACGAGGAGACGAAATTGGAAGAGGAAAAGTGTTTCAGGTGCATGGTAAGTGGCATGGGAAGAGCTTGGAGGAATTATCTACCTGCGTTGTGGATATTAATGAGCTCAAAGCTGATAAAGGTATGCGGCTACCCTATCCATCAGAAGCCACTGGCACCACATTTGCAGAGGCTGAATCAAAGTTAGGTGTCATGAGGGTGTTATGGGGTTCAAACAGAGTTTTTGCGTTGCGGGCTGAATGAGTTTAATCGTGATTCATTTGCCGCAACTATTCCTCTACTACCTGCTGCAATATGTTACAATCTTGCTTGTGGTTCTCGGAATGCTCATGTTTTCTATTTCCATAAGCATTTGCTGATGGGATAACAGATGGGTTATAGCTGAGAAGAACAATACCGAATAGAAGAGTCCAGTTTGTTAGCTAAGGGACGGGTAGAAAGTAGAAGAGGATAGTTATGGAGAAAACAAGGGCGATTCAGCAATGAAAGATAGTTTAGGATATAAACAAGAACCATAGTCGGCAGCAAAAATGTTATTAGGGTCTTGTACAAAACTTGTTTCTCAGAATTTTCCCCGCATCATGGCAATTGACAATATGCGGAACTATGATAATGAGCAGCGATAAGATCTTATTACACCACCCCAGAGAAAAGTAAAAGACTTAAATTTAAAGGGAAAACTGGACGTAAGTTCTGTGAAGATTAACATTTGCTATTCTTGCTCTTCTCATGTCTGGAAATAATTTCGTGCAAGAATTTTTTGATTGGATTTGTGAAAATGAAATGATAACTAAAATTGATGGTGTAAAATTGGTTTAGGAAAAATATTAAAAATTATTTGCCTAGGTATGTTAATGTGGTTTTTAGACAATTATTTTAGATTGTTTAAAAAATGAATTTACGTATTAAATTATCAAAAGCTATGTAATTAATATATATATATATATATATATATATATATATATTTTATTAA